TTTCAAATTTAGCCTCCAGATACGGGTAGCTCTCGTGTACGGGCAGTTAAATTTTTTGGCGGGGAAATTGCTCATTGAACAGCTGGGTATTGAGAGCACAGTGTAGGTGTGAAACAACATTCATGCAGTTAACCTAATTACTTCAAGTTTGGTGCAAAAACGAATGATTGCACCGGCAAGGTTGGTGCGTTCCAACCTGGGCTGTATTTGCGTATGTGTAAAAACGCATGAAAATGAGCTCTGCCCTTCGGCACTGTTTGCTCCGACAGATTGGCACCCAGAGGATAAGGGAATGTTAAGTATCTTAAGCAATCAAATAAGACTTTGATGAAACAGTTTGGATTTTTTGATGTGCACATACATCTGGTAGGATGAGGGAACAGAGTATGAACCATTTCTTTCAAAAATTCAACAGAACATTGTTCGGCGTCTTTGATGCATACGAATTAGAACAAACTTAGTCGAAAGCGTACCGGCTGCCGGTACGAGGATGCGTTTTTTTCACAGTTCCCCCGCAGGTTTTTTTTGCCAGTGGCACGCTCTTCCCAGCAGATGCTTTTAGCTAAAAGAATTGTGACTGGCCGCCATGACTGTTAGAAATTATTACAATGATTCCCAATCCGTGCCCAAAAAATTCAGCGCACTGAATGCTTCGGTTGCGGAGACACGCCAAATTCCGCGTGCTCGTACGTGAGTAGCAACGTGAGTGTTTCCTTCGCTTGGAGTTAATTAAAGACGGCCCTAGGTAGTGCTCAAAAAGTTTCAGTACCCAAGCTGCTCTGGCTGCAGAGTTACGTCAAATTTTACGTGCTCGCACGTGAGTGGCAACGTGAGTGCTTTCTTCGCCCGCGGTTGGTCAAACACGGTCCTGGGTAGCGCTCAGAAAGTTTCAGCATTCCAGCTCTTCTGGTTGCAGGGTTACGTCAAATTTCACGTGCTTATACGTGAATGGTGAAGTGAATGCCTCCTTCGCCCGCAGTTACTCAAACACGGCCCTAGGTAATGCTCAGAAAGTTTCAGCACTCCAGCTGCTCCGGTTGCGGAGTTACGTCAAATTTCACGTGTGTACACGCGTTCGTACGTGAGATGCAGAACAGCTGACAAGTAACTTACTTTCACGGAGACAACAGTGGGCAATAAGTAACGCTGCAAAATTGCAGCTCTCTGCAGCTTATTGATCACTTTAAATTTGGAGTTGGCATGATACCAGTTTAAATTAACTTTGACGTATGTGTATGTGAGTCCTGAGGATGCACGAAGGCTGGATTTGAAACCTTCGGATTAGACGCGGCCAAGAAACAATCCTGTGAAGTTCCAGGCTCCCAGCATAGGCCGTTCCTGAAAACGCTTCCCCGCCAAAAAAATTCTCGCGTGTCCCTACGTGAGAACCACGTGGACCTGAGCGTCCACGTGGTTCTCACATAGGGACACGCGAGGATACGAGCCCGTACGTTTGTGTAGATTAAGTCACCAAATTTTCAGCCTTGTAGCTTTTATGGATCTCGAGATGAAAACTCGTTACAGACGCACACACAGACACACATACACACAGACACAAACACACACAGACAACCCCTCGACAATTGCGTTTTTGCATTGCATAGCTGCAAAAAACGCATAAAAACTAAACACACTCGGAGGAAACTCAGAGGGGGTAAACGATTTTGCTAGACATAAATTTTGCCGAAGGTGGGCTTACAGTACGCAGGAAGTGGACTTTGCAAATCATGTATCAATTTCATTCGTTCTGAGCTGGTATATTCATTATAAGACTAGATTCCAACAGAATCCTTAGAATTAAGCTTCCATCACAGCCGGTAGCGACAATAAGGTTGAGTGAGTTTGAATCCACTCCAGACGTCAATCCTATACAATACATGATCGTTACGAGGGATTTCACTAAATATCTTTGAGTGAAGAATAGTGTGAAAAGGTATATCGATACATAAATTGCTGATAAAAGTAACAACAGACACAACGAAAAAACAAGATAACGAAGGTGGGGACAAACTGCTTGTTTCCAATACTGCAATGTCTCAGCGGTGCCTCAGCACGACCTCACTCAGTATGGAATCCACCACTACATATTGTGCACAAAAATATATATTATGCTGATTGATGAAAAGGGTAATGTGCGAGGCAAAAAAGCGTAACAGATCCCGAGAAAAGTCAAGAAAGGCGATTGGACTCTAAGGGCAGTTATTCAACAGCGATCACAAAATGCCTTATTGAAAAGCTTCTTCAGCTCGAAAACAAATCGAGTGAGCTGAATCGTGGCGGTCGAATTCGAGAATCTACACAGTCATACAAATATCGTCAAGAGAAGGAGCATGAAGAGGAATAAAACCGAAACGGGAAGCACT